TGTCCCATAAGCCAAATCCAGTCAATCATCTTTTTATTACAACCCAGAAACTAAGGATAGTTTTTACATTTTAATTTTTTATTTGTATATATTAACTGTACAATGGGGTTTTATTATGATATTTCCATATGTACATGTACTTTGACCAAGTTCATCCCCTCTATTACTCTTTCTTATGCCCTTTATCCCTCCCCTCTAACCAATTTTAATGGGTTTCATTATTCTGTTTTCCTACATGCACATGAAATACTTCAATCATATTTATACTCTCCCTGTTACTTCTTTGTATTTGGAGACTTAAGCCCCTGTTTTTATATTTTAATGAAATATTTTAAATAACTTTTAAATTCATAGCAAAAAATTGAAGGAGAAATGTAGAATTCTCATATATGCCTTTCCCCAAAAATGTGTTCAGCATCTTTCAGCATGAGTCACCCTTTGGGATACATTTGTTATAATAGATGAATCTATATGGCGCATTGCTGTCAACCAAAATCCATAGTTTACAATAGAGTTAACTCTTCGTATTCTACAGTCACTGGATTTTGAAAAAATTTTAAACATGTATCCATCATTATGCTATCAAACAAAATAGTTTCACTGGCCCACAGTGTGTAACCCCGTTCTTCCCTTCCTGTCTCTCTGAACTTCTGGCAACCATTTTTATTTTCTTTATTGTATCTATCATTTTATCTTTTCCAGATATTATATAGTAGGAATCATGCAGCATGCATACTTCTCAGGTGATTTCTTTCACTTAGCAATATGCAGTTAAGTTTCTTCCATGGATTTTGTGACTCTTCATATCATCCTCAGCATTTGAAGCTGACAGTGCTTTGGATTTTAGTCAGTCTAATAGATGTGTAATGCTATGTCACTTGTTTTAATTTGCAATTCCTTAATGACAAGTGAGCTTGAGCTTCCTTCATGTACTTATTTTCTTTCAGTGTTTCTTTTTTTTTTTGAGGCCAAAGCTCAGATCTTTTCCCATTTTAAAATTAAGTGTTTTTTGTTTTTGCTTTAGTTTGTTTTTTGTTTTATTTTGTTTTGGAGACAGGCTCTCATTATGTAGACAAGGCTGTCCTGGAAGTTGCTATCCTCCTGCCTAAACCTCCCTAGTAATGGGATTGCAGACAGGTATGTGCCACCACTCCCAGCTTTTTGTTTTCTTATTATTAAGTTTTAAGACTTTAGTGAATTTCTGATAACTGTCTTTTATCATGCATATTTGGCTATTTTCTCCCAATCTGTGGCTTGTCTTTTAATTTTCTTCGAGGTTCTTTTTCATAGAACAGAAGTTTTAAATTTCAATGAAGTGAAATTTACTAATTATTTCTTTCGTAGATCATGCACTGATGTTGGATCTGCACATTGTTTACAAAACCAAGGTTATATACATTTTCATATATATTTGTGTATATATATATAGAGATGTGTGTGTGTGTGTGTGTGTGTGTGTGTGAATTTTAGCCTGAGGTTCTTCAAATCATTTTCCTAAAACCACAGAGCAGAAAGTTTATGAATAAATATGATAATGGGGTTCATATTTCAAAGCTACCTAGAAGTCATATAGAGAGATAATATAAGAAACCAGGTCAATGCATGCTAAAACTTGTGTTTTTCTTTTTGTATAATAACTGATTTAATTCTGTCTCTAATTTAGCAATTTCTCTACCTGTATTAGTTGCAGCAAACTAATGAAGTGATGTCCCTGACCAATTCAATTCCCTAGCAGCTAATTCCCTACCTTGAGGAAATCAGGCTTATAAATACTGAAGAAATAGCTTTATTTCATTTCATTTTTAGTTTTGGGAGTTGAGCTCAGGCTTTATGAATGCTAAGCTATGCACTACCACTGAGCTCCAAAGGAATTGCCTTACATAAAAAACAAAAGATATTTGAAGCACATTAAAGGTAAAAAAAAAAAATAAGACTGAAGAATTGAAGACAATGATCTGAGGTGAAATGAATTAGAAGGGGTGAATTGTGAGGACACTAGACATCAAACTGCATATTGAGACAAGTTTCATAAGTACACTCAATGTCCTACTAATCCTCACCTTCTGTATACTACTTTCACAAAGTAGAAGCAGTGATCTTTGAAATTCTGTTTAGTCATGTTACTCTTACGTATAAATCTTGCCGCACTTAGAATAAAATAAAACAAAATCTTTAGTACAGAATTCAATTTTTGAAGAAGATTTAGTAAGAAGGAAATGGCTTATTATTTTCTCACATGAAATAACTAATAAACTAGACAAGATATATGAAACAATGTTTTTTATACACTGAATATTAGGCTTGGAACACTGGTCCCTGGTGGAAGAAAAGGCAGGAGATGAATGCTAAAATGGCATAAATTACTTCCTAGAGAGTTTCCATGTGAAAGCACAAGAAAAGGTAACACAGCAGAGCCTGTATTGTCTCCATAAGGTGAGAACAAGGCAGCTAGAGTTTGCAGGGCAAGGGAAAGCAATCAAGAGATCTTCAGCAGGGCATTCTCTAATTCTCAGCTGAGAGTTGATCACCTTTTGTACATTAAGAAACTACATGAAGCCAAGAGAAAAGAACTACCAAAAGGGGCACACAGAGAAAAACCTTGAAGTCCACCAAGAAAAAATGGTTCAGCATCCTACCAGCCAAAGTGGAAAGTTCCATAACACAGAGCATCTAGTAAAGTTCAAAAACACATTCATCTCTGAAATGAAGTAAAATTGGCCCTAGATCAAGGTTACTTTGATCACCTCTAACAAAGTTTTAAAGCAAGACTCAAAAAGAGTTGAACTACTTCCAAGTGAAAAGTATTTATAGAAATGTGAAAATGTCCAGTAAAACACACAATGTCTGGCATTCAAAGAAGTGGGAAAATATATGATCTGAGAAATATCAATCACAAAAACAGACAGAAGAAACACAACTGATATAATTAATAGAAGGGCTATTAAATCAGTAATCTTAGGTATTTGAGAAGTTTGAGGAAGTATAGACCAAGCATGTTAGGCAGATGGAAGGAAGATATAAAGAAATGAACCAAAGTACACTTCTAAAGATTAAAAGACACAATTTTTGAGAAGAGAAGTATACCATATGGTATTCACAGAAGATTAAATGCTTCAGACTAGCAAACTTGGAGACACAGAATTAATTTTAAAAAACAGAAACAAAAAATGCTGAAAAAAGGCAATGAAAACAATATTCTTAAATTATGGGACAAATTATCGCAGACTGGAAGAAGAGTGTTGATAAGGTGTAAGGAAGTATTTGAAATTGAGAACTGTTAGAAATTCTCTAAGCTTGATAAAATCTATAAACTCATAGATATAGGGATCATAATGGATCCCAAGTGTAAGAAACAAGAAACATGAAAAAAGAACCTATAAATTCTTTTGCCTTAAAGGTCTTTGAGTTTAAACATTACTCTCATTTTCAAAAATACACCTTAGTTCTTGTTTTCTTTTTTCCATATTACTACCTATTGTAGGAAAACTATTTCCTTTTTTGTGCCTCAAGATCTGATAATTCTGAAGGCCAAGTCCTCTGTGAAGCCTGGTCATGACCACTCCCTCCCACATCACATCCTACAACTTCTAGGTGTGTATGCTACCTTCAGTGCACCCCTCTTCATTTGGGTATTGCTTCAATCGCAATGTTCTCTTCTCCTTTTGCCCATGAGCTTCTCTTACTCATTCTTAAATTCCTAGCCCACAATAAAGTTCCTGGAATCAAGAGTTCTACCTTTAGGTGTTTGAGAAAAGAATGAAGAATGTAAGCTCTGTGAATGTCTTTGTTGTTACTATAGTTTTAACATCTAATAATACCTAAAATAATCAGTGCTCAATTATTGTTTTTGAGAGAAGAAAGTAATCTTTATTGGTTCATATTTGCAAAATCCAATGGTGTCTATGTGCTGGTATGTGCAAGACATTGCTTTGTGCTTACAGACACAATAGCAACAAAGGCCTGTGGGCTTATATCCTAATGCTTGTGCATATATAATTTTTTATTTGGTTGTGGGAAAATATATAAGTGAACAATTATTAAATGCAAAAGTTAAGTTTAGATATTGGAAATCATTATGAAGACAATAAAACTCATTTATGTGATTCAGGATGACAGTATTTTGAACAGACAGGGAAATCTGCATAGAGCAGGTAATATTTGAATTCACTTCTAATAAGAAGGAACCGGCCACTCAAGTTTTTAGCCTGGGAGTTTTCCAGGCAGAAGAAACAGTAAGAGTAAGAGTCCAAAGGTAAACAGCGTATGACATATTTGAGAAAGAGAAAGAAGGCAAGTGTGGGTGGCAGATATTCCCAATGACTAAATTTCACCTATAAAATACTTGTTAAAATAAAAATGTTAAATAGGAACTATCATGCATAGCCTGTCTACAATCAAGGGATTGAAAGGAATAGCCCTGTAATTCTTATTCACCCTGAATGTCTAGAATTTCTAATTCAATTACCATTCAGGACATGCTCTTACTCTGTTTAATAAATTCCTTGACCTCAAAATCCCTCACATCAGCATTTTTATTTTCCTGGTAGTTGTGACACAAAACCCTATTAACATTATGCACAAATTGTTCAGAACGTTCTCCAGGTCACTGCTATATGGACGCTTTTTGGCTCCAAGATTCTACTGCAAGCAGGTTCAAAATACACAAATTGGAAGGTAATGACTTGATTGCTATTATCACTGTGTGCTGAACAGGAGGAATTCTGGGTGTGTTATTTGCAATACATTTCATTCTGCCAAAACATCATTTTTGACCATTGTTCCTGACTGGATAAAGCCTGAATTAAGCTTCTTTGGTTTCTGATGTCTCTACTCTTTGGAGAAATAGATTACACAATAAGGGTGGAGGATGTGGTTGACTGACAAATGTATAGGTACTTAGATTGAGGCATATGGATCCACTTATAAATACAGCCTGTAGAACATCCACAGTGTTGAACTCTATTAACATATTTCTTCCAGACTTTGCAGACGTCATAGACATGAAGCTGTCAGGTACCCTTCTGCTTTTGGTCAGTGTGGCCTGTGTTTCGCTCTTTGCAGGTGAGTTTTCTATCTAGCTATCATCTATCTTTCTATCTATTTATCTGTCTGTCTGTCTATCTATCATCCATATTGGAATTTGGGCCAGACTGCTCATAATGTAATGTTGTTTTTGCTATTGATAATGATCATGATAAAGATGGTTAATAATGGTGACTACCTATCAAACTTTCATTTAGAAGGAACCTCAATGTACAAATTAACTCTTCAATTTTTGCTAAAATGCCCTACAAGTAGTTTTATACAATTCCAAAAGCAATGTGGCATCTCATATGCTAGCTCAGGTCTGGCCCCAAGTGGCTAATCTTGGAATTATAAGCCAGTTGTGTGTGTCTCTCTCTATAGGACACAATTAACAGCACAAGGTAACAAGTAAGCTTCATTCTTCAGGGAGAAATTTATATTACAATTAGAAACTCTCATTCAAAGTCATCTTTATGAAATTTTTATCTAATAAGCTTCAACTGCCAGAACTTTTTGAGACATTTTGCAGAAAGCTTGAATCATTCTTACCATCTAGGTAAGCAAAATAAAGAGAGGATTAAGGGAAGGAGGAGAGGGAGATGGCATGAGAAATGGAGAGGGAGAATAATATAATAATGTAATATGGTAGAAAGAGCCCAAAACTGAGATTCTAAGATTTGCTTTCTAATCTTCATTCTGCTAATATCTCTTTAATATTGAAAGTCACTCTCCTCCTCTGGATTCTGTTTCACATTCACATGGGAATGACACGTGTGAAATTTATGTGCACTAATGCTTCTTAAAAGGTTATGCTTAAGCATATTCGATTTAGAATCTAAGAGATCTAAGTTTAATTCCTGACTGTCATTTACAAGATGTATGTCATTTTCCCTACAGCTCGGTTTCCTTACTGTTAAAAATGGAGTTGTTATTGTGACTTAATATATGTAAGATTTAATATAGTGCTTAAAATGTAAGAATCCCCCAGTAAATAGTAGATAGTGTTAGTTGGAATGTAGGAAATCACTTTTCAATGATTTCAAAATTATTTTTAATTTTAATTGTTATATTATTACCAACTGTTATATTGTTCACCAGTTGTCTTGGCTCTCCTTTAATCAAATGGCTGTGAGTTTGTAATTTTCACCTTCTTAGTAAATATATATGTCTTTGACAAAGAAGTCAGGAGTTAGCCTTCATTTGTCCAGGAATATCCTTGTTACAAGACAAGCATTAGAGAATAAAGAAGAAACAACACACAATTACATAAAAGCCACAAATGCGAACTTAATGAGAACAGTCTTGTACTGATCATTTGCTCAGCCCTTGGTCATACATTTAACAAGCTGCCTGTCTTGATGTAGTTTTCCTCTCTTCCTGAGCCTCAGTTCTTCATCCATAAAGCCAAACATGCTATGGAAGATGTTAAGTTAATTTTAACTGTAACATTCTGGACTTCTGACCTGTTGTGATTTATCAGTGCCTGTTTTCTCATTGCAGAGGCTGTGAGCCAAGGAAGCTTTCAGGTACATGATTCTCTCTCTCACTGGTCATTTCTTTTCACAGCAAGTCTCATAGCAATGGGGACCCCAGGTTGGGAAGCACTGTGCCTGTTCCATTGAGAGCTTCTGTGCTCCCACAGCTGACTGAGTGAGAAGGAAGGAGGATGGATTCAGATCAAGTGTCAACATTGCTGCATACATGCTTCCTCAGCAGTGGAAAAAGACTTGAATGTTACTTCTCACTTTTTTCAAACTGCCAAATGTCATCTTTCTACACAAGGGTTTTACACTCATTCAATGCCTCTACAAGAGTTAGTGTCTATAAATCATTTATTTTTCAATTCAGTGTAAGTTTGAGAATGAAAGTGGTACTTAATAGTTATAACAAGAAGATAATCATAAAGTGTGGCTGTCCCGGGTAACCTAGAAAACACGAATCTGAGTACCATGTACAAAAAGTAATGACAAAAAGCTTGCTAAATGCATATTCCTGCTCACCACATATACATATTAGATACATGGCAAGGAATATCTAAGGACACTGAGGCCAAGGAATCTGCATTTTAAGAAGCTTCCTGACATTTGGATGCGTATGAAAACTTGAGAATCACAATTCAAAATTTCACCTAATAGACTTGACAGTAAAGTAAGTGATAAAAATAATTGAAGCATGTAGAATATGGTTCTGTTATTAAAATTTTACTACTATACATAGAAATACAATCTTAGAGAATATATGGAAAGAAAATGACAAAATGATAGGAAAAAGTGTTTCTAGGTGCTGGGACAGTGTGATTTTTATATAAAAATACATTGTTTTCAATGTATTTTTATAATAATAAAATACGAGTTTTTAAAGAAAATTCTAAGCACACAAGAGAAGCACATCTTAAGAGTGCAAATGATATCATTGTCATGATTCATGAAATAAAAATACCTCATTTAAATTACAGGCTTTTTGCAGCAACTATGAGAAGAAACCAGGTACAGATGGAAAATCATGCCCCAAGACCTACAAGCCAGTGTGTGGCACTGATGGACAAACTTACCAGAACCCCTGCGAGTTCTGCAAAACAGCTCTGTAAGCACACAGAAGCCACTATTGATGGCACATACTTAGCTTGGGTCAATGGGGTATGAGTCAGGGAATTTATTTATTAAAAATTTAACATTCTATATATTTTTTAAATTAACTCTTACATAAAGTAAGGTAATATTATTGTCACCAAACTGAGACCTATAACCTATGAGTACCTTTTCCCACTTCACCCAAAACCTGAAATTAATCCATATCAACCACATTTCATTTATGTATTCAATCTCTTTTCTTTCAGGGAAAAAAATGGAAAACTTGGCTTCAAACATGAAGGGAAATGTTGATTCCTCTGATGTTGCCATACTGGAAGTGCCTTTAGTTTGATTTTACATTAGGAACATATTCCTTATTACCCACCTTCCATTACAATTTATTTCCCACCAGTTATTATGCTCCCCCCAAAAGCAATTTCAATAAAATTATACTGGCAAAATTTCTGTGTTGATGTTCTATTTTGCTAATAATGGAGGCATCATTGTTTAACTGAGTTAGACTACTGTTATACTACCTGAGTATGAAATGACACTATTTGTAACAGACTAGAAGATTACCATACTAATCAAATTCAGAATTCTCTAGTCAGTGGTCAGTTCTTCAGAAGTTTGCAGATGAACTCAAGGATAATAAATCTGGACCCAAGAAAATAAATATATATAATCTGAAACAAATTAGCATTTCTTATTATATGGGATATTTGTGAAGTATTTTTCCCTATGGCACATGCTGAGTTGTTTTTGAGCTTTTCAACTTATATGCTAAGGCCATAAATAAATTGTAAGTTAAACAAAACATTGGCCACCCAGTCGTCAGGGCAGCTGAATAGATTGTGGAGTAGCTAAAGCCTCCAGATTACTTGACTCTGGCTTTACCATCTTACAAGAATATACCACGATGTTTTCTCCTTATTGCAATAATCCAAGAAGTTAGAGATTCAACTCTCCACAGTCAGAAGACTGGAGCCACATGACCTCAGGTGGTCCAAACTGATGAATAAAGTCATGAAAAGTAAAAAAAAAAAAAGAATATACCACAAAAAGTGTAATTTTCTTTATGTAGAATGATGTGAAAAGCTTGAAGGTATAGATCCACTACTGTGTTGTGGATGCTTAGAAACAAAATAGTGGTATGGTAGAAAACACTGAGGTACAGGTTGGAGAAAGGGATTATTTGAAATTGGTTCTTTGAACTGAGTCCCAAAGGATGAGAAGGATTCAGATACATGTTAATATGGAAAAAGGGCATTTCAAGCAGAGAAAATGACAACTATAACAAAGATTACAAATAAATAAAATTTAAAATAAGGCTGGTAAGATCAAGTGAGTGAGAGGAGCCAGTACATAACTTTGTACAAAGTGCTGGAAGCTAGATAAAAATCCAGAGAGTTACCTTGAGTTAGAAGGGAACCATGGAAGTGTCTCAAGAAAAGATTTCATAGAAGGGATGACTTTTTAGTAGATTCCTGACATAAAAAAGGTTGATGGGTAGAGTAGGAGGGAGAAGACCTGAAACATGAAAACTGACATATTTAAAAAGAGAGTTTCCAAAGTCTCAAATTGAATAGATGGAACAAATATCACCAGAACTCAGACAGGGCACTTCAATATTACATAACTGAACATACTTTTTCTAAAGCAGAGCTCCTCAGCAAACACCAAATCAACTGGATGTGGGTTAGAAATATTTCTTTAGGTAACACCCTTATTATTTGTGGGGTTTTTCCATGATTTAAAAATTGTAAACATTCACATAAAAACTGGATTTCTTGAAACTCCTCCAATGTGAGAAAATCTAGTTTACATAATACCCAGTTCATTAACAAATAACAGTTTGTTAACTTCTGGCCTCTTTAGATAGACACAGTGCAGATCAATCTCATTCCTTCACATTAGTTCCTGGTTCCTGATAGCAAGTGAAGTTGTATCCCTTCCTTAAGGCATTAAACATCTCATGGAATATTTTTGATTTTGGAAATCCACAATCTAAAGAAGCAGTCTACCCCATCAATAGAGACCAATTTCTTCATAGTGATATAGGATTTAGCAGGGAGTGAGGAAACCTGATTGCTGAGAATGATGGCTTGCATGTTGACAATGGTGTTGATAACAAATCACATCCTGGATTGCTGACATAAAGGAATCTCTCAGGACACAAAGTAGAGTTTTGCTGACCCAAAGTACTGCAGCCCGTGAAAAATGGCATTAAATTTTCTGACTATTTAATGCCATTAACTCCTCTGCCCAACATGTGAGAAAAGATGATAACACATACCCCACTCTCCAGAAGCTAATAACATCTATACTCAGTTTTCCAGGACTAATCATACTTTTGTCCATAGACCCCCATAACAACTCAAGTTCTTGGGACCTCCTGCTCAGAGTTTCTTGAGCTTGCCCACCTCCCATCTAGTGTGCTTTTGCTCTGCTTTCAGTTTTCTCTGTATTAACCTATATCTGATTAAGTCTCCTCTGTATTCATCCTTGAATTCTTTCTCTGAGCAGAACAAGAACTTTCTGGTCTCCAGACCTGGTGACCTAAATTCAGTGACAATAGCAAGTCAATATTTGCCTCTTTATCACTTACACCAATTAAATGACATCCCAACCATGTTTTTATAACAGGCATGCAAAGACACAGAGGCACACACAATGCAATGTACAACTTACATTTTGTTTTAAACATCCTTTCAAATATCTTCTATCCTTTATCAATAAAGTATCGTCATCTGGTGTTAACAGCTTGCTCTCTTTCACTCTCTCTCCCTTTCTTCTTTCTTTTTCCTTCTTGACTTCTAGACTTTCTTTCTTCCTTCCCTTCTTTGTTTTCCTTAAACATTTAAAAAAATTTTTAGATTAGCATGTAATAATTTTAAATATCTGTGAACAGTGTGACAATTTCAGTACGTATATATAATATGTGCCAAACAAATCAGGGTAATTGATATTTCTACATCTTTTTCACTCCTTTCTGTTTGGGGCCTTTTGGCTTCTGGCTGACTGTGCTGTAGAATACTAGAATCTCCTATTTTGATAACGTCAGTGCACACTAGTGACAAAATTAAAAATCCAAAAAAAATAGCTAACATCCATTGAATGCCTTGTACATGCCAGAAATTGTTTTAAGGGGATTTACAGGACATAACTGCATTAACCAGCTTTCAATTACTATAACAAGTAACTGAGATAAATCAAATTAAAAAGAGGAACGGTTGGCTGGACACTTGGCTCAAGAGATAGACTAACTTCCTAGGAACTGCCCTGAATTCAAGCCCCAGTATTGCAAAAGAGAGAAAGAAAGAAACAAAGAAATAAAAGGAAGAACTTGTCTATTTTTACCCATGGCTTTGGAAGTTTTAGTCCATGACCAATTGGCTTTGTAGTTTGGGGCCTGTAGTGACACAGTACATTGTGGTGGCAACCCAAGGCAGAGAAAGGCTATTTAGCTTATATCCACAAACAATAAAAGAGGAAAGGATGGTATGCCACAATCCCCTTCAGTAGCATATCTCCAATGACCTGGCACCTAAGAGGCCTCATCTCTTAAATGTTCTACTGCCTCTTAGTAGCACCACAGGCCAGAGACCAAGACTTCAATATATGAACCTTTAGGGGATATTCCAGATATAAACTACAGCATTAATCTTCAAAAGAACACAATGAAACAATCAGCAGACCATAGAGACTGTCTACATTTTTCTCCTATTTTATTTTCTAAGATTTCTAGTTTGCATTATACATAAAACAAAGCTATAAGTATATGTAAATATATTTTTTATTTGCATTACTGGGATTAAACTCAGGACCTAGCATATGCAAAGCAGATACTCTACCGCTTGAGCTATGCCCACTGGTCTTTTATTTTTATTTGTTTTGACACATTGGGTGTCTCACCACCTTTGCCAGACATTGACCTACCAATTCTCTTGCCTCTGCCTCAGAGTTGCTGGGATTAATTATTTTGAATTAATTATTATAAAAGGTACAGTGTATGTCAATACTAATTGTTTTGTATGTAAGTATCCAGTTGTTCTAGCAAATAACTATCTTTGATCCATTGTATTGACTTTGCTCCTTTGAAAAGAACAGTTGACTTTATTTATGTGGGTCTTCTAGATTCTCAATTCTGTTCCATTGACGTATTTGACTACTGTCTTGCAATATGATTATCATAGCTATCTTGTAAATCTTGAAGTTAAATAGTATTATTCTTCTGACTGTTCTTTTCATGACCATAGATTTTTTTAATAAATGGTGAAATCTACATACTTGCTGTATGGAAATTTAGATATATGTCCACATAAAATTTTGTTCCTCAGCCCCTGGAATGAATTGCCTCAGGTTAAAAGTCACTAGCATGGAAGGTGGTTGATTTTTTTGGTATCCTTTCTGAAAGAACATGACCTTGGCATCAAAAATGCTAGCTGTTAACCTGGCATTGTATGGAAGGCATGATCCAGTACAACGTAAGAGGTAAATGTGTCTTTATGTCCTTCTTCTACTTTTTTTTTTATTGTTGTGCTGGGGGTACATTGTAGCATTTATAAAACTTCATACATTATATAAAGGATCATAGTTGAATTTACTCCTCCATTATTGTCCTTTATGCCCCTAACCCCATTCCTGGAATAGTTTCAACAGGTCTCATTTTTCCATTTACATACATGTGTACGCAGTATTTACACCATATTCAAGCTCCCACTTTTTTATTAAAAGGCAATGTTAGAAATAAATTAGAAGTCTTCTCTATGTAATCTCTTCTCATCCTGGCTTACACATGAATATTAATTCTTTACTGTCAAGGATTCACTGATTTTTCAACTGAGGACTTCATAAGGTGATCTGTATATTTATTCTCCAAGTTTCTATTTCTTTGAATGGTATTCCCAAGCTTCCAGATAGCCAAGGATGGAAGTCCTTACAAAGACATGTTAAAATACCTTTACTAGAGTTAATTGGGAGCACAATAATTTGATGGCTCTGTGAATGAGTATCCTTATCAAATGTCATTATTAAATGAGATAATGTATATACAGTGCCTTAATAAACAGTATAATTAACATACTTACCAGGTGTTTTTTATCCAGTGTAGAAATAGTGTAGTGATTATAACTTATAACAATTCACTTCAATTTAGGGGCTTAAAATAACAATCACACATTAATTTGCTCACATTTCTGCAACTTTTACAGGCAGGAATCAGAACCGAGGGCTCTGTTTCCATTCTTTGTAGTGTTGTCTGGGATATTCAGTTGGGATCCAAGACACCTCCAGTCATCCGGTATTTCATG